AGCCAAAGTTTCAAAAACGAATCCAGAGATTCAACAAAATTTTAGTATGACTACTCGCATCTGGGCAAATATTATTACTGTTCCTAATAAGTGGAACATTCTTAAGTTTGAGGTTGATTTATATGATTGTAAAATGGGTGAAATGCTTAGCAATAAATGGCCGTCACTTGGTAAGCAAGCTACTGCATACTTTCTTGATTCTATTGAAATTAGGGTTTCTCCAAATCCACTCAAAGTTGGTATGATCGTGCCAAGGAATTATAAGCCACAACAGCCCAATCAAGTTACTGAATATTTAGAAGGTGACGAGACAAACAAAGGCTTTGATTGTCAATTTGGAGGTGAGATTGGAACAACATCTAAGATTGGAATCCAAGGAAAAATTAGTTGTGATACAAAGAATGCCCATAGTACCAAATCAATAATGACAAGCAAATGGAAGTTAGGGAGACAACAAAACTGGTATGTGCTGGTCATATCGATACACTACTGATGGGGATGCCAGTTCTAGATTAGACTTTCCACCCGGAAGTCATTATGGCGAATGGTACATTCATGATGCTATGTTTGGATTTCAGATAGTCATTACGCAAATATTGCGTTACATGATATGAAACTGAAACCAAAGATCTTAAAGCAGTACCCTAAGATGGTTCATACACTCGAAATATCTTTTAAGTCCATTAAAAATTTCAATAAAGATTTTGCAGCACTTAACAAGCAACAATTTATTCATGGTGATCTTATTGTTACCTTGGGGGATGATAAAGGTGACAAGTTAGGTGCAAACGACACTAAACATGATTCAGAAATTATGGATATTGAACGTAAACCTATGCAAACTGATTAAATTTAATATGAATTTCAGGTTTGGATCCTTTGATCATCTGATTTCTGTCTCATAAAGTCATGCTAAAACCAAAGGCAAGAATGCAAATTATATAATTTATATTAAAATCGATCTGAAATTTCTAAATAATTAATCTTAAATTATTAAATTAAAAAATATAAAAATGCAATGCTTAAAATAAACAATTATTAACAAATATAATAAAATCTTAGTTATGTTTTTGCTAAGTTATATTTCAAGCTAAGTTTTATTTTACAATTTAGTAAAATAAAATATTCTATATTTCTATCTGTTATACGTATATTTATAAACTCTCTAGTATACATGGAATATCCTTTTATAAAGGTTTAAAATATTGTATGTATTAATAGATTTTTATTTGGTAGTTATATTACAACTTTATTTGTTAAAATAAAGATATACCAAAGGTTTTGTTATAGCATTTAATCAATATTTATATTAGAACTTTTTTTTATATATAAAAATATAAATTTTTGGCTATATATTATATAATACAATATACTAGTACGATTACGTTTCATATGTAACATGAAATGTGGAGGGATAGTTTCCTTCAACTTTTTGATGTCGCTTATGCTGATTTTTTGGAAATCCTTTTTTTGGTAAACGTTATGATCTTTATTTATCTATTTTGAAAAGGGATCGATGCTTTCTATTAATAGTATGATGACATTGTTGCGATATTGTTGTGTATATACTTGTGTACAAAATGTGTTATGTGTGAGTGTGAATATTCACATTTACTAATTTCCCCAAGGGCTGGGATTATTTACATATCACTTCTATTTAAAATGTGACACCTAAGTTAGGGTTTGGGGTTAGCGTTAATGGACAATCTTATACTAAAATTTTGCAAGGAATTTTTTTGTTAGTGCCCAAAAGGTGATTTCTTAGATGAAATTTTGAAATAAATGTGGCTTTTTGAAAAAAAGCGATTATTGTTTTGATCCTCACGTTACGCCTGATTTTGCATTCTGATTGGGCAGAATCAGAAATTTGGGGGGAATTTAAACGCGAATATTCTAATTTAACCAAATATAAGCAGCATTATATGCAATTATTATGACTGTATTTTTGATCATAGTGATTTAATGAATAGTGCTTTATATTGAGGTGCGATTATCATTTTGATTCACGATGAATTTGTGTATTTTAAGCAAGATCTGTATTTGCCTGTAACGATATGTAAATACAAAATACTGAAAAGAATATAGAAGTATAGTTTT